GCATATGTCTCATTTAGTGATCAGTGGAAGAGATAGGTAGAATTTTATTGTGAAAAGCCATTTGGGAATGCCTGACAGCTGTGCAAAAAAGAGCTTCACAAATCTTTGTGAGAAGGCCGTCCCAGAGGAAAAGCAATTCTGTTTGGAATTTTTCTTTGTGCCATTTGTTTCACATACATATTATCTGTAGTGTAACCACTAATATATAAAGAATGAAGCAGCACAGTAAAATTATTTCCCACTTAATGAGTTCTTTTCTAACAAAATAATTAGCCTCATGGAACAAAGAAATCTCCTTTGGCTGCAAACCCATAGGTCACAGAGGCCAGGTACTGAAAGACCACAAGACTCTTCAAATGCTTACGTTACACTTTTATGTACTAAGGTAATAAGGTAACGATGGTATGAATAAGGAAACTTTAAGAGGTACATTAACTTGCAAAAGCCATTATGGAACAAATGAGATCTATGTAGTAGCCTAAAAGATGTCTAAGAGAATTAATGTGCCTCTCGAAGGGTCTAACCTCAGAAAGGAACCTGGACATACGATAATCTAGTTCATGAAAAACCAACAGAGCTATGATAATTTCTCTGTTAGATGCCCTTTAAAATTCTGTACAGAAGAAAGCAAAATAATACTATATCAGGCTAGGTCAAATCAAAAGAAAAAGACAAACTCAGTATATGGCTGCCATTCTCTAATATCTAAGAATTGTTATCTAAGAATTAACAGAATCTTCTGGCTGGGTACAGTGGTTCAATTCTGTAATGCCAGAGCTTTGGGAGGTTGAGGCAGGAAGATCACTTGAGTCCAGGAATAGTTTGAGGCTGCAGTGAGCTATGATCACACCACCGTGCTACAGCCTGGACAACAGAGTTAGACTCTGTCTCTAAAAAAAATTAAAATTTCAAAACAAAAACAAAACTCAGAATCTTCTGTTCTAGATGAAGGGAACAGTCTTTTTAAAATAGGTCATATAAAATAAACTAAGAAATAGAATTCAAAGACAAGGCTTTAACATTTTTGAATTTCAACAAAGGAATAGGATTATACTACCCTCTAGTGGAAGTTCAAGAGAATTCAGTATATACTTTTCAAACATATTTTTCCAGTTTTATGATTAAAAAGCACTGTGGTTTTTCACAGAATAAAAACATTCCATTGTATGCTTACACACTTTCAATGTACAGAATACTAATATCACCACATTGAATGTTGTGGTTTTGCATTCTAAACTGTTTTGCAGCACAAGCTAAACTGCATAACTTCCATCCAAACCCTCCTGTCACAGAATAACGGTTTTGTCAATTCACAAAGGCTAGAGAGGTCCCCATTAGAATGTTGACATCTTGATGGCAGATACCCACCCTTGTTCACTGCTGTGTGTCCAGAGTCTGTACACAGTGTGTAGTGCGTGGCAGATGCCCAGCATGTACCAGGCACTGTGCTAAGTGGTTACGTTTATCATCTCATTTAATCCTCCAAATACCTACGAGACAGGTATGCTCATCATCATTTTGCAGACAAGTAGACTAAAGCTTGGAGTCGTTGAGAAATCTGCACAGTTCTTAAAGTGAGGAAGTTGTAGGACTGGAAGCCAAACTCAGATCTGTAAGTTTATAGCCCTTGTTTTCCAGTTCCCAGCATACCTTTATTACTTATTTTTAAAATGACATACCTTATCAGTAAGTATCAATTAAATAGGCTTCTTCAAGCTGGACTGAAACCAATATGAATGGATCATCTGCTGTAACTTAACAATTCCCAAGGGGCTAGGTACCAGGAGTCATAGTAATGAAGCCATGGGATAACACAGCTAAAAGCATCATCGAAAGTCCAAATTGCTCACATAAGATACAACCTGTACCCTTCAATAAAAGCAGACCCTCTAGAGAGCAAAGTAAAATCAAAAGAGTGAAACAGCCTGGAAAATGAGGGACTGACAGGATATGGTGTTACATCTGACAGTGAAAGGGCAACAAGTTCAAAGAAGTTAGGGGAACCATGTGACCAAATAAAATCGCTAACTGTTTTCTTCTAAGTGTGTTTTTATTTTTTATTATTGCTTAACTATTTAAGCCTTGTAATATTATGTCAAGGTATTTGGGTGATAATAGGAGAGATTCTGAGGCTCAAAAAAAAAAAAACAAAACCCAGTAAATGAGTGAGCATTTAAAACACTAAATGTTTCCAAAATCTAAGAATGATACATAAATGCATCAAAATGAATTCACAAAGTACATTAATGGTGCAGATATATGTTTACACAACTTCATCAAATTTGGCTTCAAAGTGTTTATTTTCCTACTGTAAAGAATATCATCGCAGGCCACAGTGGCTCACGCCTGTAATCCCAGAACTTTGGGAGGCGAAGGCGGGAAGATTACGAGGTCAGGAGATCGAGACCATCCTGGCTAACATGGTGAAACCCATCTCTACTAAAAAAAAAAATACAAAAAATTAGCCGGGCGTGGTGGCAGGTGCCTGTAGTCCCAGCTACTTGGGAGGCTGAGGCAGGAGAAGGGCGTGAACCTGGGAGGCGGAGCTTGCAGTGAGCCGAGATTGTGCCACTGCACTCCAGCCTGGGCAACAGAGAGACTCCATCTCAAAAAAAAAAAAAAAAAAAAATATCATCAGCACTGATTCTATAAAGCTTAAATTGCTTAGCTAAAAGCCTCATGATTTTAAGACATCTCTCTCTGGGCTTATTCTAGGCCAACAAATACTATCTAGGTCTCTAAAATTCCAAGTTTTGATATGCTATCTTCCACAGTCATTCATTACTAATTATAAATACCAGGCAAATAACAGCAATAGATTAAAACCCAAAGGAAGTATGCATTCCAAAGGCTAACAGATAATTCAGATTGGCAACATATATGAAAAACCACCATCCAGACACACCTTCTAAAAAAACCTGAACTACCTCTCTAAAAAGAGCTCAATATCGGTTAGACACAGACGAGAGGAAAAAAAATGACTCAAATTAATTTAGAAGTTACTAACTAGAACAGTTATCAGATAATCTTTTAGCTTTCACTTGTGTTTAGTGTTAGATGTTCTCAGATTACTAAAAAAGAAAGGATTCAAGTGAACATCTAGAAGGCCTATCTTGTGCATTTAAGAAGCCAAAATGCAGTTTCTGAAGAATAAGGTCATGTATCACTAAACATCAAACCTTTTTCAGGATATCAGAATCCTAACTGGGAATGAACATACACTATATTCTATGAAAGATTTATAGAGCCTGCATTTCCTAAACAGAATTGACTATGAAAATAATTAGAATTGTGGCAGATGCATTTAATCAGCAGAGTGGTATTAAGCAAACAACAACCATCTGTAAACAGATTTACTCTCAGCTGGGGAAATAAAAGAGGTTATCATAAGAGAACATGTCTGCAAAGAAGCATACAACCAATGAAAAGCAAGTGACTCAAAGAGATACAGAAAGATGAGCTGAAAGAAAGTGGCTACGAAGAATGTTCCAAACATCTTAAAGGCTATGTCCAAGGCTTCGGAAGGACCGTTACTATACCGGTAAGAGGAAACCAATGCAGAGGGCAACAACAGCCATTTTACATTTCTCTAAGACCCAGAATCTCCTTTCCATGCCCTGCCTTCAGAAATAACAAAACACTGACCCTGAAAGGCATGGCAACAGCCAGGGGACTTGAAGAATACAGTTCACAGAGACCTACTGAGAGCCCCCATCCTGCTGCCTCATCACCTCATCCTACTGCCTCATACTGATATGGAGGATATCATCAATGTGGTTGGGATCCTAGATGCATTTATAAATTTTATGATCCTGAGCAAGTTGCAACCTCTCCAAGCCTTAGTTTATCTGTAAATCGGGAATAATAAAAGCTACTTTTGTGGGGTTCTTGTGAGAATTACAGATAGTAATAGTAAAGCATCTAATAATCTGACATAGAGCAGGTGCTATAAACAAACGATAGCTACTGTTATCAGCAACAGCACTCCAAATACTTTGTATCTATTTTGTTCACATACAACAAACTGTTTTATGACTTGCAAATTACTTGCCTTGTATATCAGTTGTGTTTTGCTTTGAATAAGGCAATATTAAAAACAGGAGGAGATAATAGAATATCTTCAGCTTCCCACCTAAAAGACTAAAACAGGTTATTAGCTCATACAGACAGCTCCTACCTCCTACTTTACTAAGATCTTAAGCTTGATTAGGAAATAGTAAGCTACAGTATTATCCTTAGATGTGGCATCATCAAACATAAAAGACAATTTTCTGAATATAAACCCAAGAAAAAAAGAATACCAATATAATCCATCCAAATGAACAACGCCAAAAAAATAAATTTCCAGACTATAAATTTAGCCAAACTGGTACCCTGATTTACACTGTTGTTGTTGTTGTTGTTGCTGTTGTTTGAGACAAGGTCTCACTATGTTGCCCAGGCTGGATTCAAACTTCTGGGCTCAAGCAATTCTCCTGCCTCAGTCTCCAGAATAGCTGCAACTGCAGGCACACGCCACCACAACCAGCACAAGTACTCTCATTTAACCAGGTTTGTTTGATCTCTAATCCGTTTGAAGAGAAAAAAAAAACACTACAAGACATGAAGTTCTAGCAGATCTAAATTTTAAAAGCAACAATTTCTGGAATACATTCTACAGTCAGGACAAAGTCACCTAATCCATTTTCTACATGTATGCTTTCAAACAGAGACCAAATGTCAACAAAGACAACCCGAGTCACTTTAAGATCAACATAATTATAATTATGTGTCCTGAGCTGACCTGAGGCAGAAACAGTTAGAACTAATTTCCTCGCTTTACATCATTTTCTGTCAAATGCTCAACTAATCAAAATATGAAATTAACTAGAAATCATGATTTTCCAAAAAATCCTGTTAACCCAGAATTTCATGTGTTCCTAAAAAGCTTTGAAATGACACCAAACCCTGCCCAAGTTGTTTTCATTCCTAAAAGTAATGAATGAAAACATCGGACTTACTCAGATTTGCTGTCACGGATTCTAAGTCTGCGATTAAAGCTGGGAGCTGCTGGAGCTGCTCCTGCAGCTCCACGAGGCTTGTCTTTTTCTTCTCCCAGTGCGCAGAAAGCATGACCACTTCGCTATCCACCAGCTGCAGCACACAAGAAGGGGGGCAAAGTGAAACCGGCTTTTAGGCACAAAGAAAGTACAGTTAACGTAATGAGATTTAATGTTACCTTTAACAACCCCTCTACTCAGTAGAGATTACGGTACATTCTAAAAGAGACTGAGCTGTTTTCATTTTTAGAAAAGAACCAACTTAATATTCAGTACAGGAAACCTCAAATTACTGCTTGTATCACTGCATCTTAACCCAGAGAAGAGAAAGTTTAAAAATGACTTTAGAAGTCACTTCTAAGTATACCCTGTTTTAAGCAGACCATATATTTGAAAATCCAAATCTAAAAAAAATTAAAACAAAAAACTACCACTAACAACCAAAAAGAAAACAAACATAAAACATAATTAACAGGTAATTACTGACTTTACAAAAGGAAGTCCTCAAACAAAAGTTCCCTAATACATTTAGAATATATCATGATTCAATTTACATTTAAACAGGAATACTTATTGAATAAAGTATATAAAGGAATTTTGAGGAAATCGGCCAATTCCAAAATTCCAGAAAAAGAGGAAATGATTTAAGTTAACAAGGAATTCAGCAGATGTAAAGGGTTCCTAATAGCAAGGTTGTGAAATTCCAGAGTAGCCTAAGATAATTCTAACTTCTTTCGCTAAAGACTATAAAGAAAATGATAAACATTAGTTTCTCCCAGACAATTTTGTTTTGGTCTTAACACAGTGGGAGGGACAAGGGCCTAGAAAGATTGAGAAGAAGCAAGAAGAAGAGGTAATCTTTTGAAAATATCAACATGAATAAGCAAGAACTATGGAAAAAACTCCATAATCTGTACAATAAAAAATAAAGGTGACAAAACCCATTATATGACAGAAGAAAATGAATTTGAATATTCACAACAGACAATTTGCACATCTCGAGATTAAGGTTCTCTTTTTTTTTTTTTTTGAGACGAAGTTTCGCTCTTGTTGCCCAGGCTTCAGTGCAGTGGTGATATCGGCTCACCGCAACCTCCGCCTCCCAGGTTCATGTGATTCTCCTGCCTCAGACCCCCCAGCAGCTGGGACTACAGGCACCTGCCACCACACCCGGCTAATTTTTTGTATTTTTAGTAGAGATAGAGTTTCACCAAGTTGGCCAGGCTGGTTTTGAACTCCTGGCCTCAAGCAATCCATTCATCTTGGCCTCCCAAAGTGTTAGGATTACAGGCATGAGCCACTGTGCCCAGCCAGGACTAAGGCTCTTTAAGAGTTAGAATCTGAATACAACTGATTCTTACCAAGTTCCACTTAAATATTAAGAAAGAACTTATATCAAAAAACATAGGCTTACTGTCAAATTCCCTGGGATGGAATCTAAGTCCACTGTGGCCCTTGAGGAAGTAACTTAACTTCCATTACACCTCAATTTTAAAAATTTATATCAAAGATACAAAATTATTTGTATGTGGTACTAGATTGTTTTTGTTTGTACATTTCACTATAGTAGGAATTCTCATTTGAAATAAGGAACTAAGCTATGATACATCTCCTTGTAGTTTCTCAGCCCACGCTGGAGGGATAAGCACATCATCTCTTCATTCAAGCCTCAACTGAGCTGGGAGGCCACACCAAGTTTCACACACACTGCATTTCTCATTATTTTTGTGTACTTAAAAATGTTGCCAACTGGTCTTTAAAAAGATCTTTAAAAGTAGCTTAAAACACACTGAAAAAACAGCTACAATGCAATAAGGAAACCAAAGCCTGAAATAAGGATCTATGCTCACAAAATTCATTTACAATATTCCACAAACTTCCACTGACCACCCACTATTTGCTAAGCCCGATTCTGGGTACTGAAGATGTAATGACAAACAAATCAGAAAAGAAATTCCTGACCTCTTATTGTTTATATGTTAGTGGCAGGCCTCATAAATTTTCTTAACTTCAGATTTTAAACTCTAAACAAAAAAATTCCTATATTATGATGCTATTTTGGTTAATAATTTGAAAACTCTAGAATAAATAATTTTTAGATATTAACCATTTCTTACTGATAATTAAAGCGCGATATTTAAATATTAAAATTTAACTACAGTTTAGTTCATGCCTGCAATAAAACTGAAAACTAAATTCTGAATATAGAATATAAACATAAGTAGAAAAACTGTATCAGAAAACACGAAACCATCACTTAAGTTTAAAAGAATGGAAGGGTAAACAGATTCTCAGAAATTATCAATACTAAAACATTTTGAACATTTCTAAGTACCAGACCCTATGCTAAGCAATTTACATATATTATCTCATTTAAACCACACAGCAACTCTATACACTAAGCAATATTATAATCTCCATTATACAGATTTTTTAAATTGAGGTGTAATGGAAGTTAAGTTACTTCCTCAAGGGCCACAGTGGACTTAGATTCCATCCCAGGGAATTTGACAGTAAGCCTATGCTCTTAATCAACACACTAGGGATTCTGCTATAGGGGTATATAAAGGAAAGAAAAGTAAAAATCTAGCAAAAGAAAGGGTTCTGAAAAACTGTTCTGTTACCTATTCATTTTATCATTGTAATTTCTTAATGATTAAAAAAGTTATCTCCAGAAGTTCCATTTTTCCACCTCAAAGTAACTCGCAATAAACCCAGATTCACCACCAGGAAATCAAGTTTAAGGAGTAAGACAAACCCATAGTGTTTTATTCCAAAATTCTTTCTGGCAGTTATTGAGGTTAGGAGAAGGAAGAAAAAGCACACCAATCATGAAAAGGTACACCAATGATGTAGAATAGGATCTTAGTATAAAACTGAGTAGTTCAGAGTTTTAAGGAAGACATCATTTTATTTGATTTCCACACAAGTTTGACAAGCAGAATAAGTAGTGTTAAGCCATGTTATAGATGAGAAAACTAAGAGAGGACATGTTATCTGCCCAAGGTCAATAGGTATTCGTGCAGCAAGGCGCAGAAACCAGGATTTCCATCACTAAATTCAGTTCACTTTCTGCCACAGGCAGAGGAAATCCACCCTGAACGCAGAGAGCGAAACAGTCAAATTCAACTGGCTTAATGTCAAACTGTTAAGCAAAACCATGAACCTTGAAAGTTCAATTTGAAGGCAAGCTAATATTTCACAGTAACAGGAGAGGCAAAACACTGAAAGTCTGACTTTAGAAAACTGCCCTCAGAGTCTAAGCCCTAAGTAAGTATTAACTGTTTACGGTATTTTTTTTTTATACATTGTTAAAGGAGAAAAAAAAAAATCAAAACCCTTGTTTAGAAAAAGCCTAGACAGGCTGGGAGCGGTGGCTCATGCCTATAATCCCAGCACTTTTGGAGGCTGAGGCTGGCAGATTATGAGGTCAAGAGATCGAGACCATACTGGCCAACATGGTGAAACCCCGTCTCTACTAAAAAATACAAAAATTAGCTGGGCATGGTGGCACACACTTGTAGTCCCAGCTACTCGGGAGGCTGAGGCAGGAGAATCGCTTGAATCTGGGAGACAGAGGTTGCAGTGAGCCGAGATCGCACCACTGCACTCCAGCCTGGAGACAGAACGAGACTCTGTCTCAAAAAAAAAAAAAAAGAAAGAAAAAAAGAACAAGCCTAGACAACCAAGTTACCTTTGATCACAGCTGCTTGTTTCATAAACTATCGTTCTGAATTCCAAGACTATATAGTTACAATAATTAGCTTAAAAGTAGATGAGTATAAAATAATTGGTTAAAAAGATAGAATTGTCCAAAAGTATATTTGCCCCAGGAGGTTATGCTGTTTAGGTAAAGCCCATCAAAGACACACGAGCAGGTCTGACAAAATAAATGTACAAAGTGACAAGTTTAATACCATGCATATTAAAGATATACATTTAAATATTTACATAGATCTCAATAATACATCACAGAAGGCTTTAAAATAAACTTTCATTTTTAAGGTTGGGTACTGTTTCTGGAAAGCAATAGAAGTACTTTGGATGAGCTGTGGGTTTTAAAACAACCAATTATACCAAAATTTAAGATCCTAAGGTAGCATAAATTCAATAACAGATCTTACAGGAAATTCTTCCTCCTGTATATATTGTTAATGCTTCTTATAATCAAAAGAATGGTTTTTGTTAAAGCTCCTCTACAGGACACAGTCTTCATTTAACATGGGATTCATTCATGTTGATACGCATAGGTGTAGTAGTTCACTAATTTTCACTGCTGTATATGATATTTGTTTTATGAATAATATCATACTTTTTCCTGCAGATGGACTTTGGAACTGTCCAAAGATTAAACAAAGCTTGCTACAAACATTCTGTTACAAATCTCAAGATGCATATGTGCAAGGGTTTCACAAATGAATTGCAGATGTGTCCAAGATATCTATCTCCTCATCTCTCAGGGCCTAGGGTAATGAGATACCCCTCCCCAGTCCCTGCAGGTTGGATGAATGCTCTGGAAAAATTCCTAGAAGCAGAATGGTTGCTTGAAAGGCATGTGCAACTTTAACTTCTACTTAATGCCAACTCATTTTTTCTAATGTGATTGTTCCAATTTATACTCCCAAGTTCTAGTTGTTTATCATCACGTTTCTTCTGAGGAAAGAAACAAAACTGTCATCTGCAAATAATGACCATCTGCACAGAAAGCTCAAAGCCTCTTAAATTTTCGGTAATCTAATGATTACCGAATCTAATTTGGGGTTTCAATTTGCATTTCCTTGATACCAAGCAAGGTTGAACACATTTTACTGTGTATTGGCCATTCATGTTTTCTCTTCTGCAATATGCCTGCTGATATATTTTACTTACTTTTCTCCTGGGTTATTTTAGTCTTCTTTTTATTGATTCATAGGGGTTACTCATATTTTCTGAACACTTATCCTCTGTCTTGTAAATGGTGGTGTTTGATAAAAAACTTTTGACAAAAATTATCAATATACTTATTTATGGCTGGTGCTTTTTACATCTTACTTAAGAAATCTTTCCCACTCTAAGGTCTTAAACATACTTTCTTCTACTATTTTCTAAAAAATG